GCAACTGTGAATAGCAGCCATTAGAAGGGAACTAGGGAAAAGGTGACTGGCACAAGGAGGCAACAGAGAGTAACTCAAAATATACAACACTGCTTAAATACAACACAAAATGAAAAAAAAAATTACCAAGAAATCACAGAATGATATAAATCAAAGTGTAACTGAAAACTTAAAAGGAAACTTAAGCGGAAGTCCACGAATGGCAGAATCATGAAAACAAATTTTATGTGTGTACACATTTGATAAATAATGTCCCTGATCAGTTTCTGCAATGAAATGAGCATGGTAATGCTTTCTAAAGATGTAACATAGATATATTAATATTATATATCTATCTAAAGATACATGATGTAATAAGAAATTAATAGGATTCACATTTTAGTCTTTGAGGCACATCTAAATACATAATCATAAAGAGATCACTAAAATAATTCATTATAAAGATGTTAGGTGCCTGATCTGTTGTCATGATCAATTAAATTACCACCTTTTCCTAATTACAATAACACCTCAGAAATCAAACATGAAACATCAGAGTGTTGCTGAAAACTGTTGAGCCCATCTGTTTACATCATCCAGCCTGATCTGTTGTGCAATTATTTGTTTTGTTACAGATCATGAAAGTAAAACACATTGGCATTTTCTTTACAAAGGCTTATTTTTCATTAAATGTTAACAGCATCATATCCCCTGTTGTTTTTGTCAGCTCCAGACTAAAAAATGTTGGCAGCTGATGCAATGCGATCAAACAGATGTGTACTAAATATTGTAATGTGACTTTTAGGAGGCTGGGGTTTATTCATGCTCATTAACATTTAGAAAATGGCTAAAATGCATCAGAGATATTCACTAGAATTTTAATAGCCCTCGCTACATTTGTGCTTTTAAATGTCAGAAGCAAAGGAAGGCTTTTCATGCTTTGTTTTGGTTGGTAAATATTTGAGCCGTAGTCCACAGTGGTTTAGTTAGTAAGAGGAAACGTGTTTTGTGAATATTTCAATGCTATGGTAAGGACAGTACAGCTTCACAAGAATCTGAAAATTTAAATCTAGAGGCTCAAGCATTGAGAGTGAAGACAGGCCAAGTGAAAGACTTTATCTTGGTTTTCACATCTTTTTCTTTAAACACTGAAGTCGCAGTCTATAACCCTAAGTGCACATTAGAGAACTACAGAGAACTGCAATCCAGGGATCACCCGTTATCTGTCTCAAATACTTTAGATTCTGACATTTTGATAAGATAGGACCAACTTTACTTATGTAAACCAACCGAGAACAATTGGTTTGAGGCAAAGGCTTTATATAAACACAATATGGGCACTGTGTCATGTCATAAAAAAAATCAAAATAAAGAATGCTTGAATTTGGTGCAGACGTTTTTTTTCTAGAAGGAAGTAATTATTTAAATTTTAAAAAAAAATAAAATAAAAAGAAAGACGGTCTATCTTAATCCAACATGAGGTTAAGAAACCCTCAAACACACAAAGATTTTTTTTCCCCTTAAACACAACCTAACTTGCCAAATAGTAAAATTGTTACATTCATCAACAATATTTTTCAGCATAATCATAAGCAAGGGTATAACTTAAAATAAGCCAGAAAAAAAAAAGAAATTTACAATGAGACCATCATTCTTATTTAAAACTTTGAAGCACCTCAGGGGGTTTAGTTGTTCAGATAAGCAGGAGGAAAAATAAGTAAATGTTGCCTGGCAACAGGAAAAGGTAAAACCACACTTTTCACATTACTAATTTTGCTTGGTGTGCATCTTAAATGCACTGATAATGCCTTCAAATTTGGTTCTTTGTTTTTTTGTGTGCTTTTTTTTTGACAATGACTGACAGCCACCATCTGTCCATCATCACAGTTTCGGCCGTATGAAACAGGAAACAGCCACAAACCTATGTGGCGGAGAGGCATTGACTGACAGAAAATGAGGATATGCAGGAGGGAGAAATGAAGACAGTCTTAAATGCCTCCATAACCAGGCAACATAGGAGCTTGGAACAAATGAACAGCATCTGTTCAGGGGATGAGTGATGATCCAGACGTTCAGGAGAGGTCATCAAACAGACGCAGAAACTATGCCAAGGGATGCTGGACAGCTGCACTGCAGCTTACTCTGGAAAACAGGAGATTAAAAAGTATGTTTCAAGAAAGACAAAGAAAGCAAGAAATAAAATGGAAGATGTGGAAACGTGACAACATTTGAAAACTATATTATTTTTTTCTATTATATTCTAACACCTATTTCTCTTTGTTAAAGCTTTGGGCTTTGTATCAGAGTGGAACACTGCTTGCTTTATAATAATGTTTTGGCAGTCATCCATCTTGATGGATTTTTTAATACCTTAAAACCATGCAAAATAAACAACTGATATTATAGTCATAGGCTACATTTCATTAAAAGCAATATAAATAATATGTACCTCACACTGTAAATTTTGTCATTGTGTTTTCCTAAATAGTTTCTGTGGCTTCCTTGATGATTAAGATAGATTTATTCATTATTAGTCTTTAGTATCTAACAGCAGTGTACTGCAAAAAATAGAAATCTATATAAGTCATTTTGAAATGTCGAAAAAAAGCCCCAGAGTTAAAAATAATTTGGCAAGCCAACACACTTACAACAGCAGATATACTCCCCGGAAATGTCATGAAAGAGCTAAATATAAGAAAAATACGAAAAGTAATAATTAAAAAACAATATTTCAAAATTTGAGGTCCCAAACCAAACCATCTAAAACTATAGAGAAATGAATTTTATGGTTGTTATCTGAGGATATCACTGAGGACACTCTTTAACTCTTACTTTAGGTTGACCGTAATTATTTTATGTTACATTGTTCAACCTGCACATCA